CCTTTCTGGTGTGTTTTGTTTTGTGGGTGTGAGGAACTTCTGTGCGGTGCTGCACACTCAATCCCTCCTCCCACAGTCTCAGCTTCTTCCGCGGCCGGGTCAGACAGAATAACGTAAGGAACACCGTGGAGACCTCGAAGGTTGGCACCTTTCTGTTCACGTGTGTGTCAGTCTATGTATCCTTAGAGCCAGGAAGTAAATAGTAGCTGTCATGGCTAGCGTCTATTGTCAGCGGGACTCACCAGGGAAGAAGAAACCCACGACTGAGGGATTGCCTCCATCAGATTGGTCAGTGGCCGTGTCTGTGGGGCATTTTCTCAATTGCTATTGGATGACGGAGGACCCGCCCACTGTGGGCGGTTCCATTCCTAGGGAGGCGGCCCTGGGCTACATAAAAAATGCAAGCTGGACCTGGGAGCAAGCCTGTAAGCCGCACTCCTCAGGGGGTCTCTGCTTCAGGTCCTGCCTCCAAGTTCCTGCTTGGCTTCGCTTGATGATAGACTATACCTGTCACTCAGATAAACCCTCTCCTCCCCGACTTGCTTGTTGGTCGTAGTGTTCAGCACAGCAACAGAGAAGTAAAGAAAGCCATAGTCGCAACCCAGGACCCCCAGAATGCCAATGCTAAGGCCTTCGCCCCCCTGTGAGCCTTACCGCAAAGCCTACACACAGTCTTATTTCTCTGCACCGGCCCCCAAGTGTGTCAGGACTCTGGGCCTTGGCACACGGGAGCAGAAACCAGGACTCAGCCAGCGTTGTGTTGCTCATGGCTGTGACAAAATTAGACAATGTGAGACTCAAGGGGAAAGGCTTGTTCTGGCTCAGTGTTTGGGAAGGGAACCAGCCAAACAGGTGTGAAAGAAAGCATGGGGTTGAGAGGCAGCTGCAACATTGTAACACAGGCAGGAAGCAGAGAGAGATGAACGCCGCCGGCGCCCAGCTCTCTTCCTTCACTTTATTTCGTCTCGGACCCCATGGGATGGTGCCATCATATTCAGGTCATCCCTCCTCAGTTAAAGCTCTCAAGAAGTGTCCCCATAGACACGCCCAGGTGTGTCTCTTAGGTGATTCCAAAACCAGTCTTTAAAAGTATCATTACGTTCATTCATTCATTCATTCATTCATTCATTCACTTGGGGGAGTCGGTTCTCTCCTTCCACCATGTGGGTCCTGGGGATTGAACTCAGGTCATCAGGCTTGGTGGCAAGTGCCTTTGCCTGCCGAGCCCTCTGGCTGGCCCTCTGAATCCAGTCTTGATAATGAAGATTGTTTATCACAACCAGAGGGTCACGTGCCAGAGGACAGTGTCCTCCGGGGGCTGGACAACGGCCTAGAGGTGACACAATTCTGAAGTCGCCACTGAGAAAGCCATCACGTGGCCCATGCCAGCAGCTGGAGGGGGCACCCTGTACCCTGGCGCTGGGGGGGGGGGGGGCATCCCCGACCTCCTGCTCACCCTGCTGACTTCTGCATGGCTCTGTGACGTGGGCACTTGAGTCCCTGAAAGGGCTGGTTCCAACAACACACAGGCTTGGAGTGCGTTTTCTTGTTGGGAAGATGCCTGCCAAGTCTCCGGATGGTGGGTGTGGAGTCATTGGAATCTGTGCGGGAACATGGTGGTGTGGACTGTAATGGGACCCCTGGCCCTTCTCTCCCGGCATGCTTTTAACAGCATAGACCCAGCACTTTCTCCCTCCCCTCCGCCTTGTCCCCTGCTCCCTCTCCCTCTTTCTCTCCCTCTCTCTCCCTCCTCCCCCCTTCCCCAGTCACCCTCCCCTGGCTTTTCAGTTAGAGGGGCTCTGTGGGTTTCTTCCTTCTTTTCCTTTAGTTCTGAGAGAATCCAAGGCAGAGCTGGCAGCCAGCCCAGACGGGGCTCAACACAGCATCTCCAATTTTCAGGGCAGGGGGTGGGGTGCTGGAGAATCTCCACACAGCCCAGCGGGGACCCAGGGGGTTCAGAGCGTCCATCCCCCACAGCTCAACCCATTCTTTCTAGGATTTACCACACAGGCCGGGCGTCTCCATTTCAGTCCCATTTTTTTAAAGTAGGAAGCAGAGTGGGAAGACGGATTCATGGGTAAGAGCGCTGAGAAAGCGCAGGACCTGAGTGCAAACTTCAGGTGTGGTCAGGTGCAGCCTTGGGAGTAAGAGGAGCAGAGGCAGGGGGATTGCAGGAGCTTGCTTGGCACTGGCCTGGCTCCAGATTCACACACACCACACACATACACACACACACACACACACACACACACACACACATATACACACCACACACACATATACACAATACACACCACACACACATATACACACCACACACACATATACACACCACACACACATATACACAATACACACCACACACACATATACACAATACACACGACACACACATATACACAATACACACCACACACACATACATACATATTCACACACACAGACACACCACTCACACATACATATGTACACAGACATACACACACACACACACACACACACACACACACACACACACACACACACACACACACACACACGACAGTGGGTTTAGTGCAGACAGCTCCCTGCGACTTTCACAAATGGGGCCTGAACTCCCTGGTTCTCAGGACGACCCTCGGTGGCCTGATGCAGGCGCTTTAAGGCCCCCCACCCGCCCCTCCTATTGCTGCCTCTCTCACCCCCCTCCCCGCCTCTCCCCTCCCTCCTCCTCTCTCCACTTCCACCAGCACCACCCCACCCACCCCCGGGGGAAGACTCTGGAATTTTCTTGCTGACCCAGGACCAGGTCTGACCTCCGGTTAAAGCCCTCAGGGTGCAGCATCACAGTTTGTCTCCCTCTCCCACCAGCGAGCTGGGCGTGCGCGGGCTGGCGCAGGGCTGCTTCAGTCAGCCTGCTGCAATGGCTCTTTTCAGAGGCACCCGGGTCAGCACTGCGGCCCTTCCCGAGCCTTCCAGGAACCCTCCGTGTGCCCTCCCAGGCACCTGCGGAGAATGGAGAACACCTTTGTCACCACCAGGATGACCCAGGAGGGAGCAAGATCAGAAAGAAGGGCTCCCGTTTGCCTGAGCACGGGCTCTGTTGTGCCTAATCCTGAGCCGGGCACTCTCCCAGCATTCACTGCCTCCTTCTGGCCTGAGGAGGACCTGGGAGCTGGGCCCCCTGGGAGCCTCTCTTCCTGGCTGTGGACCCTAAACTTCAGAAGCCCCACCTCAGCTCAGCTCCAGGCGGGAGCTGATTCCTTCTGCCCCTTCACTCTGAGCTCCACACAGCCTGGCCTGCATTCATTAAACTCACTTTGGGGTCATTTTTACCCTCTAAACTGCTTAGTAACAGCGAGTCTGGCAGTCTGCTCCCAACACCGCGGACCGATTCACATTCGTCAGCTTCTTTGTCCCCAGGGCTGTCCTGGCTTTAATTAGAATATTTTTATTTCCCCTTAATAGAGAGAGGGTAGTGAGCTCAGGGACCAGGTCCCGGAACTTCAGGGCTCCCTGGCCATCAGATGGATCGGCCAGCAGGAGAGGGGCAAATTCCGTCTGCATGGCCCCTCGGCCTCTCCCTACACTGGTCCATCTCAGTGTTAAAACTGGTGGGAACCCAGCAAGAGCCTCCCTTGAAGAGGACAGTTGAATGCAGGCTCACACATTGTGAGCGACCCCGTGAACCCACAGACAAGTGGGCTGAAGGTCAAATGCAGTGAGCCAAGGGGCTTCCGTGGAGAGGCCAGGGACACGCGCCCCATTTCACCCCGAGCCAGGAGCCCAGTGGTTAGAGATGCGCTTGCTGCCTGGCAGAGGTGAAGTCCAGGGCTGGGGAGGAGCCTCAGCCAGTGAATTGCTTGCTGCCCAGGAATGAGAAGCCAAGTTCCACCCTCCCTCATGCCCCCACTCCCCTCACCTTCCCCACCCCCCACCCCCACCCCCCACCGCAGCCCCACCGCACCCACGTAAAAGCCAGGCGTGACAGCATACACTTGTAACTCCAGCTCGCAGACCAAGCTGATCCTGGTCAGGTCCGGTGAGAGATCCTGCCTCGAAAATAAGACATAAGGTCAATCTTTGGACCTCACGCTCACGCTCCCCTATGAGCACTCAACATGTAAATACACCACACACAAAGAACAAAGAAAGACGTGTTCATCTTAATAAAGACCGTTCAATATTTAACGTGGGTTGTTGTACCTCTCCAGCTGCCTTTGACCCGGGGCATCCAGATACCACGCTGGCTGGTGATCGGTGTGGAAACACTTAAAATCAGCTTTGTGTTTTCCTGTGCACAGCGCCATGCTCTGGTGACCAGTGACAGCAGACAGCTGGGCCAGGGGAGGTCGTGTGTGTGTGTGTGTGTGTGTGTGTGTGTGTGTGTGTGTGTGTGTGTGTCCAGTGACAGCAGGGTAGCTGGGCCAGGGAAACCAGTGAGTGCCAGCCCCTCTTCACTGGCTCCTCACTTCCAGGCTGCTGCAGAGCTGAGTGGACGTGACTCTGGACTCTGAAAAGCCCATGGAGGTTTGCTTGGAGAGGGTGTCAACCATCAGCTGATTAATCAGAATTGGATGTAAAATCTGAGCTTTCCTACAGGGCAGGGTGATGTAAGCTGGGCCTTATGTCCACACAGGCGCTGAGTCCCACTGTCCGTCCACAGGACAAACCTTAACACCAGCTGCTTGGGATCCACACTGCTGTGCAAGCACATGTTCTAGAGCCAGCTGACCTGGTTCAAATCCTGTATCATCCACTTACCTGCTGTGTGGCTTCAGGTAGGTGTCTTCCCCTCTCTGAGCTTTAGTTTCATTATTTTAAAATGGAGACAGGAATTGCACAGGATCCTTGTAAAGTTTAGTGAGTTTAAACAGGCAATGCATGTGGAGGGGAGTGTGAGTGCATCGGTGTGTGCACACGTACATATGTGCAAGCACGTGTGTGTGTATGCATGCACACATGCATGTGTGTATGGTGCCCCTGTGTGTGCTGCACGATCAGCTGCAGATAACCAGGAGTCACTTTGTTACTTTTATTAATGACATGGTTAATGACATGGTTAATACTTTCTCCTCCAGCTCCATTAAATCTGCCAAACGCCACACCCTCGGCGGAACCGCAGATCAGCTGTCCTCGTCCTCACCCACAGTGCTCTCTCTCCGGAGGAGAGCACAGGTCTGCTCAGTCCCATGGAGCCTCACTGCTTGTCTGTGAACCTCAGACAAGGTTCCGTATGTGTAGTAGTGGCTTGCTCTTTTTCACTGCTGAATAGTATTCCATAATATGGCTGTCTCTGTCCATTCTCTTGTTTGTGGACATTTGGATTGCTTCCCCTGCAAGTCTTTTTGTCTGCATAGGTTTCTCTTGGGCAAACACTTCATAGACTTGCTGGGTGGATAGTCGGAATATCTGCACTTTATTCAAAATCCTGGAACAGAGTCCTTGAATGTCTGTGCCATTTTGCCTGTGTCTTCGAGCCTCTTTCGTTCTGCTAAATAAAGATAATTCACAGAGGCCCCTGAGCACCGTGAGGAGGAGATGCTGCTGTGAGAAGTGGCTCGGCCCTGACCATTACCCCCTCGCTCTGCCCTTGGATTGGCTCCAGGTGTCTGACGGACGACAAACCCAAGTCTCTCGTGAAACAGCTTGATGATCGCACACAGCTGTGCGATCCCGTCTTCTTCGGGGAGAGGACTCAGAACCTGTGGAGAAGGAAGCCCATCTCACTTCCTCGCCCAGGAGACTTGGGCCAGAGGTGGATGGGGCTGGTGAGGTGGAGGGTTCGGTCCCGAGGGCACCCACATGGTGCTGTCACAGTGTCAGGAGCCCAACACACAGACTCTGAGGGGGACCATCCGCTCGGAGCCGACCATCCTCACAGACTCCCGGGGCCTCGTCCTCCCTGCTCTGAGGTGCCGTTCAAGTAACCATCCCTAAGACCAGAGAGGGCTGAAGACCGAGGTCCCCCGAAAACACCTCCATCCCCACTTTGCGGTCCCAGGCTGGCTCATCCTCCTCCCTGCCCAGGCAGACTTGGCAGGGATGGATGTTCTAAATGGATTCTGCGCCGGCTCCTGCTGATGCTGCGGTCTTTGGGAGGCTGTAATTAAGATTCGGTCCACAGCCCAGATGGAAGCAACCGATTCCTGGGGACTGGACTGCGGCTGTGTGTGGCAAGGCTCAGCTTTGGAGCCCTGGATGTGAGTTCTGAGCATGGAGGCTAGGTAGGATTTGCAGGCTGGCAGAATTTCCCCTCCTCCTCCTTCTCCCTTCCCAGAAGACCTGGCTTCACACACAGACCCTGGTCCAACATCCGACCCTGGTCCAACTTCCTGCTCCATCTGAGTGACATTTCATCACCCCCCTGAGCCTCAGTTTCCTCATCTTTAAAGCAGGGTGGTTATGCATATTTGTGGCATAATGGCCGAGCCCACAGGTGTCCCCCCTCATGATTCCTAGGCTCCCATTTCCCACCCTGACCTTGAATTTGACCATACACACGTGCAATAAAGACACTTCCCAGCCCTCCCTGATGCTGGAGACGGATGTGTGATGGCACCCGGCCAGAGGAGGGTCAGAAGTGTCCCTAGCAAATGGCTGGAAAGATGGCTTGTTCCCATCACACCCGCCTTGGCTTCCAAAGTACCAGTCCAGGTGGGGTGAGCCTTTAAGATCAGGGCCTCAGGGAAGGTCCTTAGGTCATGGCTCGGAAGGGATACTACTGTCTGGTGATGCCTGTCTTCGATCACAGGCTCCCACAGTAATGTGGCGCCACCCACCCTCAGCCACACCACTCACAAGGTCACGCCCATGTGCTCACCTTTTTCTGACCTCAGACTTTGAACTTAATAGAAGTGAGTTAATTAAACCTCTTTTTAGTACAAGCTAAGCTGCCTTGGCTATTTTGTTATAGCGGGGAAAACTTGACAGACCCTAAGAAGAAAGGACCACTCTCCTGTGTCCCTCCCTCCCCTCCTGCTGCGGTGGGTGCGGGAACTCCCGGCAGCTCTGAGGGACTATGAGGAGAAAGCCACAAGCTGTGGATGGCGACGACTCCTGGTCTCCGAAGCTCCTGACACATTGTCCTTGTTCCATGTGCTCACTGCTACCTGCTGTTGGGAGGATCGAATTTATTTCAGTAATGACTGAAGTGGGCTGCCCAGCACATCTCTCCCTGTAGGTATCGACACTATGTTAGAGGCAAGAGTGAAGGAGATGCTGATCTGGGGCTGTCTGTCTGTCTCTGCCTTGTCTCCAAGATGGCAGGACAGGAGGAAATTCTGAAAGGGCTGACAGAGCTATGAGGTGTCCCCCGTCCCCGAGGCTTTGGGTTCAAGGGGTCTGTCCCCTGAGAAGCTGGCCCCACATCCTCCCTTTAGAGACTGTGGGGACTACCCCCCCATTTCCATTCCCCAGTTTGAAGCCACAGCCTGGACACCTTGGGCTCTGCTTTGTTACCTGCACAAAGACCACATGCCAATGAACTGGCCAGATGGCCCTTTCTGCCTTCTTTTATCCAGCAATTAAGGGGCAGCTGGCCCAGTGCCAGGCCAGGGCAGCTGGAGGACAGGGAACCCGCCGGTCAGCTCTGGTTCCTTCGGAAGAAGAGAATTGCTGTCTGTGCCCCGAGGTGCCACCAACACAGGTGATGACCACAGTCTCACCACGGACTGGCTCTGCCTGGTCCTTCCAGGCAGCACCCTTTGGATCCTGGTGTCAGGGTCCATTTCAAGGTGTGCAAACAGTCTATGCCAAGGTCAGGCCTTGCTTGGGGCCACAGGCTCCTCAGGTTCTGGGGACAACCCCCCCCCCCCCCCCCCCCCCCCCCCCCGCCCACATACATGTGCATCCTCACGTTTCCATCTGGAGCCCTGTGCCGTAAACAGCACTTGGAGTGGGTGCTAAGGGCTGCACCATCGCTGTCCCGGGAGGCAAGCTCCTCTGCAGCTGCCTCAGAAACCCCGACTTCGGATTCTTCAACCAGCCTTTTCCTCCTGAACAGAAAAGCCCCACTGTTCCCTCTGAGCCTAAAAGTAGTCTGCGTTGTTCTAGAAAAAGCAGGCGGCAGACAAAGGCTCCAAAACCACGCCCTCCACCTCGCCACCCAAGGCTCACCCCTGAGTGCGCAAAGAGGCATCCCTTGAGCTAGCCAGGCGAGGGATGCTGCAGACACAGCGGGCTGACATTCCAGTTTCAGCGGCTCCCAGTGAGCTCCCTGCTCACACCTGTCTGGACCCTTTCGTTCTGCTTTCTGTGTGCAAAGTCACCCTACCCACCCCTTCCCAGGAGCAGACCACCAAGTTTGATGCGTCTGGAAGCAAACAGTTTAGGGTTGGGGACAACCCAAGTTAGGACTCGGCTCCTCCAGGGACCCGTTCCAGGCAAGACACCTCACTTCTCCGTGACAAACACTGTCCTCGCCTGTCTAGCAACAGCGTGGTGCTTGAGAGGAGAGAGAAAGGGTGCAGAAGACCTGGGTGGTGCCTGGCTGCAGGAGTGTCCACACATCCGGATCCTTCCTCCAGGGTCCCTTCATTCCCTAGCTTAACCAAACCTGACCTGGCGTGTGCTTAGGCTTTGAATCTGGGGTGCTGAAGTTTGGGGTAGCCTTGCTCCTTGCCTGTGACTTCTTCACATTGTAATCTGCAAGCACCCCCCTCCACGGATGTCATTCATCTGTTCCCCCATTCAGGCATCCCTGGTGATGCTCCAGCTCGCTCCCCACTCCCAAGCAACTGAGCTCAGCAGAGTCTGTATTCCCGTTCACTCTGGGAAGACATCTTGTGCGGCTGTGTTTTCCACTCCCGAGCTGGGCTGGGGGCTTCTTCACCCAGCCCATCTGTCGCACACTGTGATTTGACCCGCAAGCCTCCTGCTCACTGCCAGGGCTGTCATTGTCTCCTCGCCTTGTCCCCCCTGACTTTTCGGCATCTTTGTGTTGGGGATAGACAACCCAGAGGGCCTCCGCCTGCTGTAGCACAGACAGCATGGCAGTGTGCATCCTCATACATGTCCTGGTGCCACAGACAGGGAGACCATTCCTGGAGCGGATGACCACAGGACATATCGCCTTGGTCCTCCACCATGTCTACCCCAGGCTGTTCTAGGCTGCCTACCCATCCATACCCTGAAGTCATGCAAAAGTTAACCCACATCTTTTAATCCTCCGAGACTGAGTAACCCCTGTGTCAGTGTGCACACCCCAAACCCTCCACTCAAGGTCCTTTCTGAAAAGCCAGAGGCTCAACAGTTAGGTGGACTGATGTTCCCACCACAGAAGCACTATGCCCACTCAGAGCCTCCTTGTCCTTATGATACAATGTGGGGGGACAGGAGCTTAGATCAACCGTCTAAGTGCTTGGGTTCAAATCCCAGATCTGTCCTCCAGTTCTCTGTCACCGGAAACGAATTCCTGCTTTCTCATCTGTTTGATGAGTCCCAGGACCGAGGTCATGGCATGTCACAGGAAATTAAGGAGACCATGACTGGACCCATCAGCGCCTCAGTGCCAATACAGGCCGGCTTTCTTACTAATGTGGCTGTGGATATCGGTGGTGGTTACTACAGCAACCGCCCAACCCTAACAAGTGCCGATGTCTGTTCATCACAGAGCCCATGATCTGGTGGTGGCGCGGTTGGTTGATTGACTGGCTGACTGTTGGACTGATGGCTTTTATTTCTGCTCCTGCTCTTTTGGTGTTCCACGCTTAGGAGAGATTAATGTACCAGGGTTCATAAAAAGGGATCAGAGTCCCTGTACCTCCTTTAATGGCATGGCACTGATGACCTCACTGCCTGCTCCCAGTCCCTGCCTCCGGATGAGTCCACATCTCCCAGTAGCAACATCATCTGGGTACCAAACCTTTCAACACACCAGCCTCTGGAGGCCTTTTAAGTTCTAAATCATTGCAAGAAGACACAACCATTGCATTCTCCTTCTAATCCAAATGGCCACGTGTGTAAGGGGACCTAGTCTGAATGCTGACTTTCTTTGGTCAAACTATGGAGTCTTTCCAACTGCAAGCCAGACATTCATTTAAACTCAAGTAAAGTAAGGGAGTTTCCGGTCCTGAGTGTTGTGGTAAAACATCCGGAACTGTCATTGTATCAAGTACCATTGATTGCATTTTTTTTCAATTTTGTAACTAACAAGTCTAAGGTTCTAGAGCTTCAGGCATGGATGGATCCAGGTGTTCAGATAATGTTGGGAATCTTTCTCCACATACTCCAGCTCTCCTTTAGTCTGTGGGGTCTCTGCCTCAGATACTGTCTTTCTACAGGCTGAGGCAAGGATGACCTCTGTCTGCGCCTAAGCTCTGCAGCTTAGGGAAGGAAACACAAGATGTTCTCCCAACCATCCCAGTGGGATCGCTGAAAAGGGCTGTCCATCATTCATTCATTCATTCATTTTAAGACAGGGTCTTTCCATGTGACCAGGCCAACCTGGAGCTTTCTATGTAGCCTAGGCTAACACGCCTAGCTGTCTGATCCTGCACTAGAAATGCATCAGGCTTTTACTCTCTGAGATCAGTTGTGTACTGTTCTGCGAACCAATCATGGCGACGACGACGCTCTGATTCGCAGTTTCCACATTGCACGCCATACCCCCAATCTCAGCCAAGGGAATAGAGCAAGCCCTCCCTGGTGAGTTGGGCAGAGGAGACTAAAGGACCCCCAGATCCCCCAGAGCAAAACTGCCAAGACCCCCTTCTCTTGCTGTGGGGAACAGGGAAGGCCCCCTCTCTGGAGTTCAAGGAGCTGCCATTGTTTCTTGCCTTTATTTTTTTTAATGTTTTGTCTTTCCACATTTCCTAAATTTCTAGAATAAACATGAATTGCTGGCAATATTTTTAAATTATTAAAAGGAAACCCAAGGGTACTGAGGGTGGAACTTGGACGCAGATGCGGCCTGGCTTTGCTCCAGGCTGCTAATGGCTTTCTATGTCATCCTTTCCAGGTACAGTTTGCACCTTAACCACAGTCAAAAGGCTGTGACTCTGAGGAGCGTGTGACGATGGGATTCGGGGCACTGAGCAGTCCCTCGAGGTCCTGGCCTGTTGTTTACCTCCTCGGGGCACTTGCTGTGAAATCGGTCTCCCGTGAGCTTCTCTCTGGATTAAAATAACAGCCTCTCTCAAAGTGCACCCGAAGGCCAGGCTCTCACCTGGGAGACGGGGGCCAGCAGTCATCTGTCTCCTTCAGAGCTGCTGCAGAGAGGTTCGTGAGACCTTGCAGACATAAGCCGGGTCCTTGAAAGACCACACCACCGCTTTCCCACAGGGTCTCTGTCCCAGTCCGGTGTGGAGAGACACCGCAACCGTCCCACAGCACCGTCCACGGAGGAGCCACGGCTCTCACGCTTTGTGCGCACACTGGTCCCCGAGGGGGGCTTCGTGCACACATTAGACCTTTGCAGTGCACACGCTGCAGTCAATTTCCCTTCTAGGAATGCATTCTGAGGTAAACGTTAATCAAATATTACACGCGCATAATACTCAGCCCAAGGTCACTCATAAAGGTGAAAACTCGAAAATAACCCAAATGTGTAACCAAGGAGACGATGGCACAAACTATACAACAGCCCGCAGAGAGTTGTGCGGCTATTCAAATGAGCAGGAAATGCCTTTGTAGTCAGAGAGACACTGGTGTGTGGCGGAGGAGGGTGTGTGTGTGGGGGGGGGGGGTTTGAGAAGCGAAGCGCAGCCTGATGGGAGGCTTCTTGGTTTATTCTAGACCCATCCTTTTGCCTTCAGGGTGTTTCTTCCGACTCAGGTTCCCAGAATTCCCTGGGCTCCGAACCCAGCTGGAAACCTGTGTTCTGTGCTCTGAGTTCTCTCCTGTTGTCTGGTAGTAAAGCAGGCCCTGCCTGTGGCTGGCAACCCTCCCTGGGCTTCTGGCTTTCTGGGGGCTCGATCTGACTGATCTACTTGAGCGAGTAGGGAGATGATGGGAGCCCACTGGCTTCTGTGAGAGACTTTCCTCCAGGCACTACAGCCTGTTTCCATACCAGAGAGGATGCTCTTCGACTCACATCTTTGACTGGAGGCAGCTGTCACCCCTGGCATGGTCTCCAGTCCCGGGAACTGGGAAGGAGGTGTCCAGGTGCTCTGTTCCTGTCCACCAGCTACTGTGTCAAAATTCCTACATCCAGATTGAGGAGTCTCCTCCTAGGCCACATCTTGGCTCCCAGCTTCCACCATGCACCAGGGGACACTCCAAAAGCTCTCAGGAACCCAAATGTGACATCATGGTGTTGCTGATGGCCTTGTTTGGACTGGGTGTGTCTGGGATTCTGTGTGCTTTAATCAAAGAATTGGAAACAAAATGGCAAAGAGCCACCACTGTTTTATTTAAGGATAGAGTAAAGGGGCTGGAGAGATGGCTCAGCAATTCAGGGCACAGACTGCTCTTGCACAGAACCCAGGTTTGGTTCCCAGCACTCACATCAGACAGCTCTCAACCACCGGTAACTCCAGCTCCACAGGATCTGATGCCCTCTTCTGGACTCCAAAAGAACTGCACTCACAGGCGCATGCACATACACAGACACACACACAGACACACACACACACACACACACACACACAGAGTTAGTGTATATTCCCACCCCAACACAAATAATTAAAATAATTAAACAAAATATTTCAAGAGTGAAGGCCACACACAAGGAGCAGTGGGCTCCTTGAGTTCGTGTGCCCAAGAGCAGCAGCTACTGTTTGGGTCTCCCTTTAATGAGGTCCAGGAGAAGGAGTTTGTGCTAAGTGGTGTAGTGTGGGGTAGTTCTCTGTTATGGTTGACAGGCATGGGGTAGGTGTTAGGATCCTGCCCTCACTCCTCAGGGTCTTGCGTCTTATGTCATCAGGGGATGCTGGCGACTACATATGAGCCTTTAAAAGTCTGATGCAGACCCCATGTGCTCTCTCTGCTCTCTCTCTGTTCCCTGCTCTGCTCTGCTCCCTCCCCGCTCCATCTCTCCCTCCCCCCAGGCCTGGCTCTCCTCTCCCCTATCCTCTCCCTCCTTCCAATAAAGCTCTCTGTAACTCTGGTAGTTGTGGCCATGGCTCATGACTTTT